GAGTCAAAGTTCTTGATTTTGCCCGTGGCAACAGGATATGGCGGATGATTTGTGATCCGAAATCTCGTAACATGAGGCAACTACATCTGGACCGTGCTTTTGAGTAGTCAAAGGCAAATCTACTTCCGTTCAATGCGGACAAGTAGAAAGTTGTTCATGTTCTCCGCACGTATAAGCTTAGAGATCGCAACTTGAAGATAACCCAAAGGAGCGCAACGTTAGGATGTTGATGCAAGAGGACTACGGTTTCCAGAGCAATCCGTGAAGATGTAGGAAACCGCAAACCGATAAGTTCGTCTTGTACAGTAGATTGCTAAACCCTTACGTCTTCCTCCAGACATTGAGCCCATACGACAGGCCGCATGTAGAGCACGCAATTCAAGCTACGTAACCCTGACAAAAACGCAAGATAGCAGCACTGTAGAGATGCCAAGGCGAAGGTATACCAAAAATGTGAAGAGATTGTTCCATCTGCCGTACCAACAAACACTGAAAACCCTGAGCGTGAACTGCGCACGTTTTCACAGCTAACATGTTAACCTCACACTAGAGTATCACTTCTTAAACATCCTGGCTACTTCTGCCGCCATATCTTGAAATTCGAGTACAGCACAAAACTGAGAGACCAACAGCAGAACCTGTCTACTTATACAGTCGGTTAGTACGCAGCTGGAATTATTTTGCTCACAAAATTTCATGCCTTAAGAACACCCTACCTAGCTGTCATTTCTATGCATAAGTTACCCAATATTAAGAAACGATTTGAAGTGACACGGCTTCATTGCATTACAATACTTGCGTTCCGCGCATCGCGTGACGACTGGACGCAGCAAACGTTGTGCTCGCCAATCCCCACGAAACAAGGGAAGGCGATTTTATATGTGTTAATGTAGACATGGTGGCCAGTGCATAGATGCACGTTCGTCTTTCACTTTTCTTCTGAACGCATGTATTTAACGCAAGTCATCCTACTTGACTACTTGAAGTCTGGTCTTTTTACTCCCATTATAACATTTTGACATGGTTCTATCCATCAGGCTGAAGAGCGAAGCAACTAAAACATCATCCAGGTGCAGTCTCACGAACAACCCGCCACTGCAACCGGCTGTAAGCTTCTGTTTTGCACTCGTCATACTGAGAAAACAGCAATTCCGTGGACAAACTCCTTCAAACTACAGTGACAGCGCAGTACTCTTTTAGCTTTCGTTTCTAGCGTTCTCATACAATCCACCGTGCGTCTGGAAAGACAGAAAACAAAAACAGTACGTTCATTGCGGAGCTGAGCCATCAAAAGCAAGACAGCTTCTATTACAACGACAGAGTTTAGCCTTGACCGAAGAAGCATAGCTACAACGCTGTGCTTGGAATCCGGGTGCCCGGTGAAACTCATTAATTTGGTACGTTTCGTCAGCTTAACGGACGCATTGCATTTGGTGCTCCACTGACTCAACTTCTCTATCTATTTTCATTTCAGTGGCTCAGCCGCTGTTTCTGGATCGTCGGCAAATATTATGATTAGGGCCTTCAGTTCTTTCTGAGTGGCTAACGGGAAAGTATTGGTTGTAGTTAAGAGGCTGGGGATCTGCTACTTAGGAGTGCCGCATCGCCTTGGATGTGGCGACAGAAACTGTATTTGATAAACTTGTAGTCTCCTTGGATGCAACTGCGGCAATACTGACACCAGTGCTGACTTGCTTCCTGTGTTTCGACATAGCTTAGAGGGAGGAAATGGGCTTTGTGGAAATAATTACAAGTTGACAAGTTCAGTAACGGCTGAGTAGCCAAGGGTGGTGGCAGAGAGGTGGCTCACCATGCACGCAAGTACCTTTTGTTGCTGGAACACCCGGCGGTTGGGATTTGGTTCGTACTGAAAATTAGCGGAGATATCTGGGTTATAAATGTCGCAGCGTTTGTTTCTACTGTAGCCAGTTTTGTTTTCTGCCATCGACTGACGGTAGATACCAGCCTTTCTTACTTTTAGAACAGTGCAACTTTGATCGGTTAACTAATAGGATAGTCACACAAACCGTGGACAACCGAAGGAAACCTGGCCTGATACTGTGAAGCAGCACTTCACTTGCTATAACGTTACTGCATTTAAGATGGAAATATCTAGAGCAATGAAAATATATAAGCCCATTTTCCCTAGCTTATTGCACATTAGCCAATCACTGTTCGCCACCGTGGCTCGGCCACTCGCGTACATTGGTTCACGTGAACGTGGTGTTGAGGAGTAGTTGTTTGTTAAACGCTAGTCGCTGGACTGTTTCATTGTTTCAACGACAGAGTAGAGTTGCAGGGACAGGTGGCTTTTTCACAAACTTTCGTCGTACATACGGACGCACAAACAAAAATATCCCGTCATGCGTTACGCGAAGAAACCATGCAAAGCGTTGACAATCGCTGAATTCGCAAAGATGTTTACCAAGCACCGACAGTACTAACATGTGGATTTTACAACACAACCTTTAGTCTTGGTTGCAGGATCATCAGCTAGTCCTCAAAATCTCATGCCGTAAGAGTCGAGGAAGAAGACGGGGTGATGTAGATGCACAATGTGTTTCGAAAAATAATGTGTTGACTAGAGTATAGACTAGAATCACACGATGATCCACATATGTGTAACCTAGAGATGAAAAGTAGTGACTCGCGATCGTAGAACTCATTTGAATGAGCGTACGCACAAGATTATGTGACGAGATTTGGCAGATCAACTTCGGTTGAAGAGGAAGTAAAAAGTAAACGTGGCCGCATGACAGTATATACACATAGTCATGTTTTAGGAGACATAATTGAATACTAGGAACACTGATGCGGAGATAGCTCTCACCGACATGATTCTCTGACGAAACTATCAAACCAGCAGAGGAGGCCGAGTAATCTTGCACTATTGATGGACCTACATACCGATATTATCAACAATTCGGCAACGCAAGTTGACGATTCCCTTGGTGCAGTCTGCACCTGAGACTTGGTGCTTGATGCTCTACAACGGAGAGCTACCAACTTCATTAGTATCTTGTTTAGCTGTCCTACCAACTCAGATGCAAAGCCCTCGAATGTACTGTGGTGAAAATCAATGCCAGCTAAGGGCTATCATTATGGTGCACCAAATACTGGCGAACACGAACTATACAAATCACGAGCCGTTGCAACTCGGTTAAAATATTGGCCTGTAGCGATTGCACAAATCCCTCTTCCCAATTGTACGTTCCTATTCCCATTTCCATTATTTATTGCACAGTTTTGTTTTAACTGACCAGCAATCGAAAGAAGCCTTTTTCTGGTTTCGATGCGCGTTCTGGTTTCGGCTACGCGTGTTGTGCTATTGATCGTCGTCGGTCTGTTAGCTGCGTTCATCAATCATCGGATCTAAGGCGTAGACTTATTGCGCCGATTAAGTTCCGTCTTGCGACCGGATTGTTCGACTAACTGACGGCCTAGCGAGGATCGTGCTTTACCGAAGATCAGGTCAAGCGTTCTTACTTTATAGACGGGGAGTTCTTTTATATAGTCAAGCCCTTTTAGTTTGGCCTTTCCACTACAATCCTGTAAGACCCCCAGCCCAAATTTTTCATGCACGGCAATCGAGTTTATCGCTGTCAAATGTTTTTACCATTTGTGTGTCTTGAATGTGGAACGCTCTTCCAAATCACATCCTTATTGCCTGTACATAAAGGGTTTTCATAAAACGCCTTTAATGCACGCTATCTTATTTGCAGTACGTGATACAGTCCGTTTCAGTCGACAGACGAAATAGCGAGAACGATACAGTGTTTGCCTGCCACAAGCCTAACGCAGCGCTAAGGAAATCTGCATTTGTTTTCACGTGAACGTCTGAATACTGAATACTGCAAATAGAGATCGAGAAGATGGAAATCTGTGTTTTTCCATTGTATTTGGATTGGGCACATGCGTGGCATCACGTCGCTGATTTCTGTGTGGTGGCACCATATTGCACCTGCACTACATCTTATCCGGATGTGACATGCTCCCCATACCTGTAGTCGGCAAAGTTGGCGTTAAGGAATCTCTTAAATTACTACACCGATTTCGCCTCGACTAGCGTCTCAAGCAACTTGTTCCAATAGTTCACCATTGGACGCTCGAAGCATATAGAGTAAGCTATAAGCTTTAAATCCGGTACCCCTAGTTGGTACCGGTGTCTGCGTGTGCTGCTTGGTGCGCCAACATGCAGCAGCAGCCTCAACATAAGGAAGTGCCCCAGATGCAATCTCCGGTGCGTCATTATGTGATCAACTCGAAGTCGACCATATGACAGGTTGTAAAGCTTTAGTCTCCTACTTCGGTCCTCGGACGACATACACCGTAAACTGGGGAGGAACCGGGTAGCTACATGCTGGACCCATTCCATCCGCTGCACGTGAGCCGTACTCAAACACGGTCTTACTGGAAGAGCACAGACGGGTGCCAATCTCTTCAGACCAAGTACACAAGCTGAGACTCTAGCGCCCAAAACAGGCGTAGTTCGTTTAGGTACGGGCTGTTCGTTTTGTCGACAGACCGGATCACAGCGTGGAGGTACGCCTCGATCCTTTACGGAACTGGTGAGATGCAGCGGGTGGTCGGCCAGGGTGTACGCACGCTCATTACCACCACTCGAATGAATCCAGTATTCATTCCAGAAAACTGCGGTTGCCAACGACTAACGCGATGGACGACGGACGACAAACGTATTGTACCCAGGATTCGAACCCAGGCAACACCGCTGCCAATCCGGTACGCTAAAACTACACTGAAAGTACAGAGTTCTCATCCATCATTTGTTCTTTCCTTTTTTTATTCACTCTAGCCACCCTAGATAACTTGTAAAGCGCTGGTTTTTAACCGTTATAACCTGTTATTCATTGTTCATTGAATCCAAATATTTGGCTTAGCTCTCACAGTTTAGGTCAAAACCTCGGGAGGCTCAACAATGCTAAAAAAGTATAAACATCACGCACTCCATAGCAGTGGTTTTATTTTAAGCATCCACTTACCATGACTGAATCCAACGCGGTCTCCATTTTTGTAAGTAGATGGTGTAACCGTTTGCATCACGCCACCGGTGTCCGCTCTGAGTGAGTTGTTGTAATTTTGCACTTGTTGTATGAATGAATGGCTGGTTGTATGAATGAATGGCTACATATCTTGTCACGTCATTGGCCAAACTGACTTGATAACAAACGTTCCAATGTGAATTTGACGTGGTCAGTCAATTTTAAAAAATGCAGTGCTGATGTGTGTTTGGCACAATTATCATTGCTTATCACCTGGCAACTGGAATGGTGGTGTAGTTCATTTGGTTTTTGTAAGCAACCCGATTCCGTGAATTCTTATCATTCCAATCATTCACTGTGTTGGTCATACACCGAAAGACTGATCGTTGGACTCGTGCTAGCATCTACCATAGTGCATTGCGCTTCTAGGTGCAGCTAACTACATGGTCATTATCAAAACAAAGTTTGCTTCCGCTTGCTACTTCATTTGTGTCAAGCATCACGTAATCGGGTATGCGGTAGCGAGTGGAGCAAGCAAATATAAATGATTAGTTTAAAATGCCATCCGCTGGGAACTTGAGTAAAGATCACAAGACGCAAATCGAAGCTGTCACTTTTAAAAGTTACCTGAAAGTCTGTCACGCATCGACAGTTCACTCAGCAAGGTAGTACCCTGGGTACCACTGGACTGACGATGCCACGTCTCATGGAAACACACATTCGCAACCAAACTGCTAAGCTCGGTGAGCAAATGAACAACCGAATAAGCGATCAGTCGCAACCACAGTCAGTCGGGCGACTGACACTCATCGGTACGTGCTCCAGTGGTCAGGCACATTCCACGGGATTCACGGACAATACATACTTCTCTCTAGCACTGTTGGTTCGTGAGCCTGCGCTCGTCACGTCTTGCGGATGCTAGTGACTTGGTGACGTTGACTGTAGCCCATTTTGCAAGGGATGATGGGGAGTAAACTGAAGGAGCTCTTTCAGCTCAGAGTTGATAGTTCGACACAGGGTCACTCTTGGACACTGTTTAAGCCGAGGAGGCTCCAAGCCCATTTCAATGTTACCTTGTCCACAAATGTGGTGACGGAATGGAACAATTTACCTTAAACAGTCGTCAGTGCACAGAGTGAGGAAAGTTTCGAAACACGATTGGATTTCTATCTGCGTTGTTTCCGCAGCAATGGTGATGATCTTCCATGGAGCGACTTATTGCAAGGATCCACGCCATCCCTGCTCTGAAGTGGAAATGATGGAGCTGACACAGGATCTTTTTTATGCTTCCAAGCCCTCCAATGAACTCCAATGAACTCATCTTGACCTTGAAGACTAGCTTACTAATTCTCAACAGGGTTTTAGGTTGAATCACTTCTGCTTCACATAAGAAATTTTGAAGATGGAGAAACTGAGAATGTGGCATTTTGTACCTTCTTGTTAACCACATATGTGTAGTGAATAATGGGTGCAGCGAGGACAAGACTACGCGTAGTAGCTCGGTGTCTGATTGGCCAACGTTAACTTGGTAAGCCAAATGTTAACGTCAGAAATGCCCGGCACACAGTGATTGACTACTGTGCTCGGTCATAGCGGCTTCAAAGAGGTTAAGAAGATGGAAAATTTGACTGCAAATGAGGACAGTGAACACATTGCTAAAAGATAAACTTGAAGTATCCTTTAACTCCCATACACACAGTCACGATATTGTAGTAGAGCACTATCCTTTCCACTTCGACTTACTTTCTCTGCTAAATTATCATGGCATGCTGGACCTGACAATTTACCACTAACACTGAGAAAAATTCGGTGGATCCGACATCCCTTTTCTTCTATCCATGAAAATCGGTACTGTACCATCAAGGAGAAAGAATGCTGTAGTCTTTCCTCCCTACAAGTCAGGCTCTGTGCACGAAATGAGCAACTACCGCCTACTAAGCCATACTTCCATCCTCTCTAAAATGATGAAGCATCACATAACTAACAAAACTGCTGACTTTCTGATGATGCGAAATCTTATCAATACACCATAACACGCTTTCCTAAGTGCGCGATCCTGCATCACATGTCAGATCGAGTTTCTCAATCTCCTGACTAGTGCGCTAAATGGCCGTTCGTCAACACTATTCATCTCCCTCGATATGCACAAGACATTTGATGGTGTCCTGCATAGCATGGAAGAGTAATACCCAAATATATCCATTCCGCATAGCTACCTCTTATCCAAACCAACTGCACATGGCATAGGCAACCCTCTGCATTCATGGTTTGATTCGTACCTCAACAATAGTACCCAGGTTGTTCAGATTCAAGACGAAACATACACACCAAAGCCTGTCACCAGTGGTGTGATACAAGGTAGTGTTCTGGGACCCTTTTAAATCCTAATATATGTAAACGGTATTTTGGACATTTTTATCTCCGGCAAAGCCTTCCCATTTGGCGATTGTTGTGATTGCTTATCATGAGCCGTGCTGTCTGGTCATGCTGGTGACTGCTGCGTGTGAATAAATGTACATGTTATCAAGCGAAGGCGGGAGAGCCTATGGTGCGCTGAGGCTGGTGGTGGTTAGATCCTGACAGATGGTCTACCCACTGCTGCTACTGTTGCGCCATAGTGTCCTGTCCTGGGCGCCTCCACGTGGCGACCGCTGGGTGGGAGTTGGGTTTCGCCCTTCTCCCTGCTAAGATCCAGGACACCAATCCGCATGAGTCGGCTAACTGACCATGTGCTAGACCCGCTGCCTTTCGGGTGTTCATTTAATCGAAGGCTTTGGCTGAGGACCCGAGTCGTTCTCCTGTCAGGTGTGGACGCCCTGGCAGTATCCTAGTCCATCCTCTTCGAAGGTTAGGAAGTGGTCGATGGCCCTCTTCCCGTAAAACCTAGCCATGGGAGACAACAGGTTTACGGGTTATAAGCTCACAGCTCGATTGGCGTAGAGCACGAGTGCCACGCATTGTCTCTGACGGTGGGAGGACACCACCGGGTGTTCAATGGTTTGCTACTGCCCGCCTCAAGCCAGGCAGCCCCTGGTCAAATTGGTGCAAACCAGCCAAAAACCCACCTGCGTCTGGCCGTGGTCGCAGGTGCGTATCCAATTACGGTCGCAAAACATATGATAATTGTTCCAGTACCTCAAAGGCTGCGTGTGACGGTCGTCAAGCAGATCCCCATCTGTCGCTGCAATCACATTCCCGAGCTGGATCTGCTCCCCACTGCCTTGTGGGTCAGGCTATTGAGCCAAAGGCTCCGGGTGGAGTCCCTCAAGCAAACCTCCAAACCACCCACTGCCTTGTGGGTCAGGCTAATGAGACAAAGGCTCCGGGTGGAGCCCTTCAAGCAAACCTCGGAAACATAACCACCACCTCGCGTGCGATTGCCCACCAATGCAATCGTATGTCTGCGCGCAAAGTACTCAGCATCGGGTGCTGGAACGTGCGCACACTACTGGACCGGAACTCCAGCGAGCGCCCGGAGCGATGCACTGCACTCGTCGCGATGGAGCTGGCGCGCTACAACATCGATATTGCGGCGCTCAGTGAAACTCGGCTCGCTGAGCAAGGTAAGTTGCATGAAGCAGGTGCTGGCTACACATTCTACTGGGTGGGCAATGCCGCCTCATCACCACGTGAACATGGGGTCGGATTTGCAATATCCGATCGCCTGAATGGCCAGCTGGTGGGTGAACCAACGGGCATCAGCGCGCGACTGATGACTGTTCGTCTACGACTCGGAAGAGGTAAGTTTGCTACTTTTATAAGCACGTACGGTCCGACCATGTGTTATCCTGATGACACGCGTGATCAGTTCTACACTGAGCTATCCTCCGTGATACGGTCTGTGCCGAGGAGCGACCGACTATTCCTGCTGGGTGATTTCAACGCGCGCGTTGGGCGTGATGCATCGGTGTGGACAGATGTTATCGGTTCGCATGGCATTGGTTTAGTGAATGCGAACGGTGACAGGCTGCTCTCACTGTGTGCCACTCACGGCCTGACGATCACGAACACTCGGTTTGCACTGAGTGCGAGTGATATAGCAACTTGGACGCACCCACGGAGTGGTCACGCTCACCTGCTCGACTATGTCATCGTACCTCAGCGTGATCTGCGTGAAGTGCGCATGACACGTGTACTGCGTGGAGCTGAGTGTGGCACTGATTACAAATCGGTGCGGACCAAATTGTACATATATTTTCGTAAATCAATGTATTGCACTTCCGCCGTGAATCGGCGTAAATTTAACATTCTCTCCCTCGGTACTGTGGCGAAACGTACTGAGCTGGAGAAGGCGATGGCTGCACGCCTGTGTGATGGGGACTGCATAGCCACAGTGGGCGACATGTGGCACCACATTCGCGATCAGGTGACAGCTGCTACCGAGGAGACCATCGGGCGCGCAAACTGTAAACGGCCTGATTGGTTTGGTGACAACAATGCGACGATCGGCGCATTGGTGTCAGAGAAGAATGCAGCATTTGCTGCACATGTGGCAGACCCCAGTGACTTGGGGAAGAGTAGTCAGTTTCGCAAACTTCGACGGCGACTGACCCGAGAGCTCCGTCGCATTAAAAATGCATGGTTGACTGAGAAGGCGAAGCAGATGGAATGCTACGCCGAACGCCGTCAACACAAGGAATTCTTTGACTCCTTGAAGGCGGTGTATGGACCGAGGTTGGAGCCACTGAGGACGCTGATCGATGGTAGTTCAGGCGCTACCTGCACACAGACTGCAGACATAATGCAGATCTGGCGGAAACACTTTGACTGTCTCTTGAACAACCGTTCAGAGATCGACTGGCCTACATTGAACGGCCTGAAGCAGCACGATGTGAAGGCGGATCTGGCGGATACGCTGACATTGGATGAGACGCAGAGAGCACTTGCTCAGCTGCGAAACGGCAAGTGTGCCGGAGCCGACGGGATCCCGCCTGAAGTATTGAAACACGGCGGACCCGCGTTGTTGACTGCGCTGCACCACTTGGTGCAACTCGTATGGATTGAGGAGGAGGTGCCTGCTGAACTGAAGGATGCCCTTGTGCTACCACTGTACAAGGG